GTTTTTCAAAGTAAGCCACAGAAATTTCCTTACTAAATGATTTTAGATATAATTTCTGGGTAGTACCTCTGGGGTGAGTGAGAAGTTCATACTATAATGGATATTAAGTACACCAGTGCATCACTTGTTACGCTGCCATCACTAGAACGATACATCATAACTACAACAGTACACAATTATAACTATAGCTCTACCTTTAACACTACTGTTAACAGTATGCAGCAAAACGGGGAATTAGTTGTAATAAGTAAATAGTTGGTACAGTTCACAATTACACTGCACTAATATAGCAGTACGCAGCTACTATTTCACATGACTACTACAGGACACAATACTATGGCACTATGTACCGTACAATAATACACAACTATAACAGTGCACAATAAAGTTTAGTTACAGCATTATAGAGGAATAGTTTATAATAGGTTATGGTCGTAACAGCATACAACGACAGCATTATATAAAATAATCATAGCAAAACGAGTATAGCATTACAAGAGTAAACGCCGACTGCAATATATTTATAACACTACACTGCTATAATAGTCAAGATGTCAACCTCATGTCTGAGGGTTGGCGACCACGGTCCTCCATTCCAAGTGTTTTTATGTTGTCTTTCACTACTCCCAGATTTTGCATCTCTCCTGAGACTATCCCAGTCTCTACCTGCTTCTGGCCCTCTTACCCTCAATTTTACCCTTTAATTATGTTGTATAATAATTATCCCCTTAATTACTCGTATATGACCAAAGTGTCAAATTTTTTCTCTAAATCTCCAATATTTCTCTCATGTTCAAGCTGATCTTTGTACTTCTTCATAGATTGTTTGTCAGTGAGTCTTATCTTTAATATTATCCCGATGTCTGGTGAGTGTCCACGCTTCTGACCATTACAATAGTACTGACCTTATATTACATTTCAACAGCCTTTTCTCAAGCACATCTAAAATTGTGCACAGCTCACTAGAATAGAACCACAATAGTACACAACCTTACATGGCTTCAAGAACACAGCTAAAATATGAAATAACTATAACTGTGCACAGCTACAGCAGGACACAGCTACAACAATATATGGCTTCAACAATATACAGATTCAAGTATATTTTCATACTATACATATAGATGGACATTACACTTCTTGAGTAAAACACAGCTACATCAGAACAGAGCTAAAGTAAATTATTACAATAGACAGCTACAGACGTAAGCAGCTACATAAACGGTACACATAACACGACACCACTGAGCAGGGTGCTTCTATAGTAATAAATCACAACAATTCACACTTACAACAGGACAGCTTGAACAACACACAGGCACAACAGTATGAGCAGTCACAACATTGCACAGTTAAAACAGTACACAGTTACAACAATACATAGCTGCATCAGTACACAGCTATAAAAAAGGAGTTGCAAATCCCCTACAGTTAAACCAGTATAGAGTTACGACAGCACACGACTATAAGAGTACTCAGCTGTAACTGTACATAAGAGAATCTATTTACAGTACTGTACAGCTACAACGCGACACATTTACAACAGTTACGGCTACAACAAAACACTACTATAATAATACATCTCTTGAACATTATATAATTACAACAGAACAAAAATACAACAGTTGACAACGGCAGCAGTACAGGGAAACAGAACCATACAACAGAGCACAACAAGAGAATTATATACAGTATCCACCTGTTACAACAAGGGTACACAGCTACAGCAATATATAACAACACTACTGAAGAATAACAATTTAATAATGATAAGCAAAGGGAGAAGGGGAGAAGCATAAGAAGGAAAGTAGGATAATACTCGTAACTAATATATATATATCGGTATTGTGAAATAAAGGAGAATGGCAAAGATGAATGATACAGAAAGAGGGAAGAAGAAGAAAGTAGAATAAATGATAAGATGAAAAGAATAATAGATTTACGAGGAAGGTGGTGATAAAGACGACGTGAAAGACAAATAAGAGGGAGAAAAGGAAAGGGAATAGGTGAATGGGAACAAGAGGAGGAAATACCAGAAGAGGAGAATAAAAAGGAGAAGAAGGTGATGCAAGAACAAGAAGGCTCTCTCTCTCTCTCTCTCTCTCTCTCTCAATATTGATGTATAATTAACAGCTCCAAGTATTTGATAATAATTTTTATTGGTAATCCGTTATCATTGGGGGGGGGGTAAATAAATAAACTCAAATTTTCGGTTATCTTTGTGATCGTTGGTTGAGTTCAACTATTGAGAAAAAGTGAGTTTGATGTGGAAATATTTAGTTACCAGAGTAAATCAAATATAACCTGAGGATTCTGAGTCAAACCTGTCGTTAAAGGATTTCACTCACCTAGTCTGTCATTGGCTAGTTTGAATTTTAATCGTTGTTGATTGGCTACTGGATAACTCATTCGAAGTGGCTCCACTCTGTCGCCGGCGAATCTCATTGGCAGTTGAGGGAATCCTGGACGGTGATTGGTTACATGAGGAGTAAATTTCATCGAAAATGTTCGTTGAAATTTATGATCACGCACTGCGACAAGCAGCTGAGATAAGTAGTAACGGTCGTGGTCACGTCCCAATGACTAATTCAGTCTAGATATCCTAGTTCCCATCAGCCATACAAGCCTCACCATTAACACTTCCGCCACAACAACACCAAATCTTTGTGATAATACACAACCACAATTACTGTGGCTGTCTTAAGAGAGAAGCTCTTTAGGTAATTGTCGAATTAAAATATTAATCTGAAGTCGTGGTCGACGGACGAAGGGACGCAGCGTCGCCATGCCTCCGCTGTCGTTGGATAAACAAGAAGTCTGGTATCAACGGTCTGTGTTGTGTAATATGGTCAATGTTAAAAAAAATTACCACAAATATTTCTGCAAAAACCATTAATTTTCCAGACAACAAGGGTCAACCAAACCTGCCCTAACGCAACCAAAATTACCCAAGAATCGTTAGAGCTTAGGTCAAGTTCGGGTCGTCTGCTCCTGAGAGAAAATATGAACGGTTTTGCGATTCGGTTCGTGGTGTTTTTCAAACATTGGTCATCCTGCAGGTGGTGTCTTGTTCATGAGCTCACGGGAGATATTTCTCCTCCGTGTCATTGTCATCTTAACATATGACTTGAATCGGATTCTCCAATAATAATCATACGGTAATTCACTTTGTCCGTTACTAGTGATTTGAGAACGTATGCTACCGACTGCTACCTTCAGTCAGGACACAAATATGGCGATCACAGTGACGTAGAAATAAAGAATATCTTAACATTATGCGTTGTCTTATCCTCAGTAAAGGTGACTTGTGTACGAGTTTTTGAAAGTCTTATCTCAAATCTCTGAGTGTCATTTACTGTATATAAACACGGGACCAAAAGGTTGACATTTCTTTAGAGAGAGAGAGAGAGAGAGAGAGAGAGAGAGAGAGAGTTGTGGGATGTTTTAGTATAGGTGAGATGACAGATTTTTCTTTGTGGCGATAATTAATCTGTCAGGTGGCGGATTTTCTTATGATCTGAGCCAGGTAGTCGATTTTTTTATACTCTGAGTCAGGTAGCAGATCATTGTGATAATTTGTCAGGCTGCAGAATTATTGTGATAATTTAATTAAAGTGGCAAACCTTTTTTTGTGGCAATTTAAGTCAAATGAGTGATAATGGAATCATGTGGCGGATGTTTTATGTTGATACATTTATAAGTAATTTTTATTCGGTTTTATTTACGTTTCTGATTATAATTTACGTAAGGTGTTAATTTGAGTCAGGTGGTGAACTTTATGGTGTTAGTTTGAGTCAGGTGGTGGACTTTATGGTGTTAGTTTGAGTCAGGTGGTGGACTTTATGGTGTTAGTTTGAGTCAGGTGGTGGACTTTATGGTGTTAGTTTGAGTCAGGTGGTGGACTTTATGGTGTTAGTTTGAGTCAGGTAGTGGACTTTATGGTGTTAGTTTGAGTCAGGTAGTGGACTTTATGGTGTTAGTTTGAGTCAGGTAGTGGACTTTATGGTGTTAGTTTGAGTCAGATAGTGGACTTTGTGGTGTTAGTTTGAGTCAGGTAGTGGACTTTATGGTGTTAGTTTGAGTCAGGTAGTGGACTTTATGGTGACAGTTTGAGTCAGATAGTGGACTTTGTGGTGTTAGTTTGAGTCAGGCAGTGGACTTTATGGTGACAGTTTGAGTCAGATAGTGGACTTTGTGGTGTTAGTTTAAGTCAGGTAGTAGACTATATGGTGTTAGTTTAAATCAGTATGCGAAAATTTTCGGCGGAAAATTTAGTAAGGAAAAGTTTTCTCACCAACCAGTCTCCAAGATTCAGTAAGACTTTTGTGATGATCCTAGCATGTTGTCGAAGGAGTAGTGATTGTTTCCAGATCAGCAAATCACTAAATCATGTATGTTGAGGAAACGTGTTCAGTGTTTCATATTCAAAGTATTCACTACTTAACTATCGTATTTAGAACAGCTTGGCATGTACTGTGATTCTGTTGGTCAATTGTTTTTAATTCCATGTTTTGTGTCTCAAGCCTCTATACCTGTCATGATTCAAGATGGCCAAACAGGTGTTGATCCCCTGATTCTTAACAATGTAGAGCTAGTGGGTTACTCCAGGACAGGATGCAAGTCCACCCAAGGATTGTTCCAGTGTCGGAAAGTACATACGATACAGAATTCATTTATTGCTATATATTTTCTCATATATATCCAGGTACAATGATTTTTACACTGATCAATGTCAAAGAGATACAATAATAAAAATATAATCGAACGAAATTTAACATATATTAAAACAAGTTAATTATTCTTTAAACAGAAAACAAATCACCTTCATCATAATCTTGACCATCAAAAAATATCCGAAGACAAGTGGTGTCATGTTTTATTTGATAATGTGTTCTGTAGTATTAAAAGATTCACAAAGTGTCTAGTAAGTACAGGCACTTCCTCTTTCAGGTTTCCGTTGCCCCGCCATCATGCTCAATAGTGGGAATCAAAGTGTTGAAAACAGATAAATAGACTTTATTCAGAAACATTAGTACAGGTACAAGCTTAGGTATAATATACAGGTGGTGTCTCAACCTAGACATGATAGGAATATATCAGAAACCTGCCACTTGTAGCCATTTACACGTTGTCATGGAACATCTTGCTTCATAATTTTCTCCAAGATAAGAACACAAAGTACATCACAGTAAAGTTAACTACTCCAAGAGCTAGATGGCTCAACAGTAGACCATCCCAGTGTGACAATAATCCTTAATGGCATTATATTTCCAGACTAAGGATTCATTGCTCTCTGTATTTTTCGTCCTCTTGTCTCAACAATTACATTATTAAGTGTATCAATTACCTCTAAGTTATATTTCCTTAATGTCACAGAGAATCTCGTTTAATGATAGTGGCCAGTAATAAGAGAATGTTTGAGCACTGAGCTAATATTGCTAACTATACGAGAAACTTCCTTATGGCAAAAGAAAATCCTCCAACTGTGAGCCAGCCACCGCTTCTATCTGTAGTGTAGTGGCGTCAGTGTGCTGGATATACAGTTTGTATTGCCATTATAGGTGGCTACGGTGAGCTATCATAACTATAAGAATATTTCTAACACCACGTTTAAACTGTCTGTTTAAAAAGGTAATTAACTAACCCAAATAAAGGTCAGATAAATATTTTCTTCAATTGGTTAACTTGTTATTTAGGGCCTGGATTCTCTAACAGTCGTTTGGTAAATATTCTAAAAGATTCACATGTTAAGGATTTCCAAGAGATTCTTACGTTAATATTTTCCTTGTTGCTGGTGATGCGAACACCTGCTAAAAACACAGTACCTAAAAGGTGCTTTTTGTCGTGAAATACTGTGAAATTCTGGTATTAATTTAGTGCCTTTCTGTTTACTGTATCAAGGTGGGTGAAAGAAGAAGAACGAATTATTGAGAATTCTTGGTGTTAGAAGTTTTGTTCACCTTAATTACGACCATTAGTCACATACAATGTACAAAATAAAGTAGTAATGACTTCCACACATAAAGTGTTTACTTCATTAGCTCTTTGAACTTACTATTGACTTTTCCGATGACAATGGCTTTGACTTATTACTGCTACAATAGAGCGCTATAGACTGATAATTAACTTCAACTTTCGAAATCGACCGATTACTGTTACAAAAAAGTAATATAGCTTTGAATGGCCTCTATATAAGAAGCTGGTTGATTACTCTTACAATACCAGAAGGATTCTTGTCTACCTCGTGTACTTAATTAAACTATCTGATGGAGAAGGTTAACTTATGACTGGCTTCTGCATATGGCTGTTAATTCCCTTATTCCTAACAAATGAAAATGGGAAGTTTAGTCTGACAGCTGACTTGTGCCCCTTTAGTCTGCGAATCAATTGGTGATTTACCTATTAATAATAGAATTATGCTGTGCATATACTAACCTGTTACCCACAGATCCATACTGAAATTGGCTAATTGTTCCCATTAAAAGGAACCTTTATATAATAATTTTTACTAAAGGTTCCTTAATGAATTGGGTGAATGTTACTTATTATACAAAGAAAATTTAGGCTTATATCACTTGATTTACCGCTCTTATGACACGAAAATAAAATAATCTTATGTTTTTTGTTTATCTTCATGCCTCTTTTCGAATTGGAACTGGATTTGGTTGAAACCCGACTTGTAAGAAATTAAAGAGAACGGATTTTCAATTAAACTTTCACCCAAAATTCGATACAAATTATTGATAATCCTACTACAAGGAGGTAAATAAATACCCAGCATGAATTTCAATAATATTTTATTCTTTCCTGGGATTCATCTAATCTTGCCTTATAAAAACATAATTGTGACGTTGATGTAATAAAAGAGTCAGAAGCGTCAGTCATCAACTGAGCTGACTCAAAATACGTCAAAAACCATAATTGTTGGGTCAGTGCTGACAATTTTCGTGTAGAGTTAATTTTGGTTTATTTGCACATCATTCAAAGTTCCATTTGTGTCTAAAATCACAGTTGGGTATTAACAGCTGAGCTACGACCAAAAATAAGTGAAAAGTCTTGGTTGTCATCATTCTTTTGTTTCACTTTTTTACAACAAATAAAAGGCCCGGGGGGAATAGACAGGTGCCGTCAAGTCATTTCACGGAGGCGTAGAATGAGCAGGTGTGAGTGTGTCCCTCTGGAGTATGTTTAGTGGACCTGTTCATCCCCTGAGCTTCATACATGTTCCTAACTCAGTATTAATAATTGAGTTTCCCAATTCTTGGATCTGGTAACAGTTATATTAGTTAAGAAGTGAGTGTGTTTCTGGGTATCATTAATGTTGATTAACTCCAGGGAGTTGAGTGTGTCTTAACTGTTGAGGACGTGAGATGTGTGTAATTTAGAGATTAAGTTGGTGTGCCTTTGGTTTGACGACACACCTGTTAATCACACTGATACAACTTGTCATATTATTGCATTTCCTTTGTACCAGAAGTGTATTACAGGTGTTTGGACCAAATTAACTTAGTAACACACCTGTCATCAGGGTATGACAGGTGTTTAGACTAGACACACATATTACCACTGCTGTCACATGGGTGTCACAGGTACTTAGACCAGACACGCATATTACCAAAGCTGCCAGTTATCATTTGTGTAAAATGGATATTTAGATTATGAATTTGATGCAGAAATAAATTGGTGGATAGAAATGATTGGTAGATATATAGACGAAATGATAGAAAGATTGGGCAACATATAAATGGATAGATACACGAATGGGCAGACATACGAATGGGTAGTTGGGGAGATGGAGAGATATGTTCAGAGTTTTAGTAGTAGTTCTCAGTCATTTGCTCCTGGTCTTAATTCCTCTTTGCTGTGGTCTCAAACCACCTTCAATGTGATCTCTAACCACTCTAGACGCTGCCTCGATCTTTTCTAAGCATGGTCTAGAACCTTTTGGTCTTGGTTTCGAACCATCCTAGAAGAAGCCTCGAACGTTTTTTGACGTGGTCCCCAACCTTCCTAATTGTAGTCTCGAGCCTCCGTGGCCACGATGTCGAACCCTCGTGAGTATAGTCTCTAGCTGGTCTATACGTGTTTTCGAACCATCCTGGGCGTGGTCTCGTGCTCTCCTGGATGTATTCTCTTCCCCTCTTGGACGTGTTCTCAAGCCCGTGTTCTTGCTTCTTCACGCCCCAAATGTCTTAAACACAGTCACCCACTCGATATCCTGAAGACAGAAAATTTGATTTAGTTTTGGTACATTGGTAACGAAGGTGCAAGAACGTATATTGTGTTTAATATTTCTATGTCAATGTTAAGTATATTGTCTTACTTATTGGTGATAAAATTATCTTGTTAAAATGATTGTTAATAAAGTCATGTTTTAATATTCCAATCAAATTGTGTTTGTTTGTTTTTTCTTTAATTTAGCAGAGAAGAAAATTCTTATTTTGGGTGTATTGGTGATAAAGGTTTGGTTTGTGATATGAGTGAACAAGTTGTATTTTCTTGAGCCTGAAGACAAGAACTTTTTGTGTTTTGTTAATTGCTGGTAAAGATTTGCTCCTGAATGCATTAGTAATATGTTTTTTTTCTTAGTATATTAATTGTAGTAATTGTGTTTTGCAGAACGAGTCAGAGATAAGGTTTTGCTTTTGTTTATTATAATGGGGGACATTTGGAGGTAAAGAGTATCTCCAGGCCGTATTATCAATCTCTTAAGTCTGTATATATGATGTGATATGACATGTAAGCGTTACACTTGGAAGTATTATCCTCAGATAGACTTAATGATAATTTGCGTTGAGTTTAATCGTGAAATGGATATAATTTAGTGATTCTATTTATAAAGAAACAACCAGAGAGAAGTCCACTATATAAAGTATCGGTACAATAAATAATATGAAGTAGGTAGGTGAAATATCTCTGTATATGCAGTGAGTATTACGACATATGTAAGGCTGGTAGTGTGGATCAATTAATTTAGCGTTCTTGTCATAAAATCTTTGAAATAAGCTTTTTCTAAAGAAATAATCTCTATGGAGATTCTCCATTATCACTAAGATAAACTCTAACATTATATACCATTTGTAATAATGACTTAATGTATAGGACTGAATGTGTCACAGTCTAGGAAAAGGGAAGAGGAAGGCAAGAAGGAGCAGTAGGTTGTCCAACAGTTGTAGTAATAAACAGATATACCAGCTTTAACATTCTGTCTGTCTCTCTTTGTACATCTGTGTGTGTGTGTGTGTAAATATCCCGAACACACATAACTGCTAATAGAAAGAGGAAAAACACAGCTGGGATAAAGGCCAAGGAAAAGGAGAGGAAGAAGACACCTAGATGTATAATGGATGAATTACCACCATTAATTATTATACAATACATTTAGTCATTTAAATTTTTGCAATATAATTATGACAGATATAAATTTGCCATTAACATGATCTACTGAAATGTCCGTAAACAAATAGTTTTAACAGTAAAGAAATAAAAGTTTCAGAATAATTATAACATTTTGAATAAGATGCAAAACCAAATCTTATGATCAAACTGGTCAGTGTTATAAGTGTACCAGAACAGTGCTGCTTAACCATTTACTTTTCTTTAGAGGACACGTCCCACCAAGACAAACTAAAGCTAACCTAAATTTCCCGAGGATTGTCATGTTAGGTTAAGGTCTATTGCTTCTAATGAGATAGATAATTAAATAGATAAATCATACTGTACATATTAGAAGACTAGATCGTTTTTCGGTTGTGTTCATGGCAATTTACCAACAGTGGCCATCTTGCGTGTTGTTAGGTGTATAGATAACTCACTTACTTTAGCTGCATTGGATTTCCTTATGTGTGTTTCCTTGATGATGTTCCTAAGATGGCTGTCGATACCACTAACACGTTCCTCAATCAGTGCGATTGGAGGGTGACTCATATTGTGGTTGATTTGGGAAGTCACTTCTCGAACTTCCTGGCATACGTGACGTCATCTGTTAGCAAACACTGAGCAAGGCTTACCAATGTTGCCGTGCCATTCTCATCTGACACACGGGTGCCAACCACGAGAACGGTGTCTTCAAGGGGTTGTCATCCCGCTTAAAAATAACCTTCCTCACGTGAGGAAAGATGGATCCTTGAGCTGGCTGAACGCAGCCAACACTAAAGTATAATTTTTTTTGAAAATCTGGCCGCCATGTTGTCTTCGCGGGCAGTGTTTTGTCCTTTTCGTCGGAAATCAATTTATATTTTATGTATGTAGGATCAAACTTCGCTGAATCAATGTGTTGGACACGATGATTTAATACCAGTGACAAGTCCTCCGTCACCCTTGTTTTCCTCTTGCAGGTGATGTGATTAACGTGTCTTACTGACTCACTTATGCTGCAACAAAATTAAGGCGGCCAAAATGGGTCTAAATTATGTATAGTCTATATTAACTAGACGAGTATGCTCGTGCCACGTTATGATGGGAGTCCCGCTTGAAAATTTAGAGAATCTCAGATACCAATATTTTGCGAAATCAAGTATAATTTATTTTGTCAACTTTACTTTGTTAGATTTCGACTGTGATGTAAAACTGAACATTCTTACTGGTGTACTAACTTCGCTTGTTTAGTCAAATTGACCGTTTTTTAACAAAATCCAATTTTACTGGGCCACACTTCAACTATTAGTATTAGAGTCTAGCCATAATGGGCCCCCAGTTCTAAGGAGTTCCAATCAATATGGTCCCCATTCCTGGGGCCTATTAAAACTCTGGCACATTTTACCTGCAATAGTAAATTTTAATTCTGTTCAACATTCTCATCTGAGCTTTTCATATTGTGCTAAATCTTTTTAAAATCGGATATTTTCATAAAATAAGTCTCGTTTAATTATAAATTGTATCATTCTTTATTCAACATAGGTTCTGTTCAGATATAATCAACTGTTACTCACGTATGTGTAGGTTTCTAACATTTGGTTATTAATGTATATGGTTCTCAAAGTGACATGATAAATGGGCCCAAGTCGTTATGGACCCCTAGGGCAACTGGGCCCTAACCTAGCCTAAGTTACCCATTCCTATTGGACCACATCCAATTGAGCTTCATTCCTATTGGTTAGATTAGGTTACGTAAGAACACTTACTGGGTCTCTTATTACAGTTAGATCATATCATAATATATTAGTAGGACCATAGTCGTATATTGTAATTCATTGAGGACACCTATTGTATGTTGTATTTCATTTAGATAGTTTATTATTGTATTCATTAAGACACCGTGGTGTACTGTATATTGTATTTTGTTTGGATACATTAATGTTTTTTGCACTGTCTAGGATAAGTTTTATACAGTATATCTTAAGATATCTTCTTGTAAAATTTATTTTCCGGTGAGATATTAATGTATAGTTCATTAGGACACATCACTACACATTGTCTTATTAGAAAAATTTATTGTCTTTCAATGGGAAACTGTGTGTGTGTGTGTGTGTGTGTGTGTGTGTGTGTGTGTGTGTGTGTGTGTGTGTAGATACCTTAGTGTAAAGTTAATTTTAATCTAGACACTTTATCATATATATATATATATATATATATATATATATATATATATATATATATATATATATATATATATATATATATATATATATATATATATATATATATATAGTGTTTCTAAAAAGAATCTAATAAAAACTACAATAAAAACTGTCTTTTCCTCTTACATAAAACACATGAACAGCGGGGCTGGGTAAGCCCCCTGAGGTAAATGCTATATTGGGTTCTGAATTACACGTCACCATAAAATATATCACATCTAAACGCTGGAATCTTACGTACGATTTCCTCTAAATCTGAACCATGATCGATTTGGGCTCCAACTTGCAGAGGTTCGTACGTTCAAGTTTCCTCGTAGCTGGAGATGTCAGAACCTATCTAACTGACTCATTTAAGCTCGATACCAACACGATGTTCAAGATGACACCGAAAATGGACTGAGACTCTACTGTAACTTGATCCTCGTTAAAATCCCCAGTTAGAGGGACCACATGAACGTAGGATTATTTGATAATGTTGAGTTGAAGCTTAAGATAAAAGCTTTAGGAAAACCCTGAGTGTGATCAGATAAGCTGAGGTGGCTGGACTCAACCTTGAATTTCCCCAAGTGGTTGCGACATCAGTGATTGGCTAATTCACCTCCATTAAATCTGGTTTGTAGCTGAGAGAGAAATATGTTATTTTCTTCTTAGTTGTTGATAATTTATGTAAGATTGTGATTGATTTATGTTTCCACCAGAGTTCTGTTATGTCTTCAATTTCCGGCGAGTCTTCCTGGTTCTTTGTCTGATTATATATACAGTATATATAAATGAAGAAACACACACACACACACACACACACACACACACACACACACACACACACACACACACACACATCATCATTTTCAAAAGTTAACGCCAAAGTCCAGTTTTTGAATGCTAATAACAGGAAGAGAAAAACATATATTTCTGAATTTATTACAGGAAATCTGTTTTTGAGCAGCTAATTATAATTAAGTAAAAACAGTTTTTTCGGAAATGAACATTATTATGAAAAACAAAAAGAAAAGCTTGTAATTAAAATTGGCAATTTGTATCCAGAGATATTTCGGGCAAGTAGTAGTTTTAAGGTACTCGTTGCAAGTATCGAGGACTGTGTTGGTAATGCGCTATAATATATATGTAGGTAATTCTTTCTTCTTTGTAATTCGATAAGGTGATTGGTCAATTGTCCCTCGTCCTATTAGGCTCTAACTTAACTATTATTATGTGACCTAAATGGTCTACACACTCATTGGATTTTATATAAGGTAAGGATGGGTGAGGTGAGGTTAGGTTAGGTTAGGTTAGGTTAGGTGCTCCATTATGACTGGAGCACATTTAATATACAGTCTGCAATACTGTATAGCTTTCCACATGCAGTCAGATAGTAATGCAGAGACTAGCAGTCAAACAATCAGAAAGATAGTGAGACTAGTAGTCAGACAGCCAACCAGATAGATAGACTAACAGTCTAAGTACTCAGGAATGTCAATCTACCATAGAGGGAGTCAAGAAACTGGAGAGAGCGGAAGGTGTTAATCACTACAGGAGGCAGGTGAAGGCACCTGTAATTTGTACCTGTTGTATCCCTCGGCTGTATGGTGGTTACAGGTGTCTCACCTGAGCAGGAAATGTCTTAAATATCTCATATTTT